CAATCAAGGCACATGAACTATGTACACAGCACAGTTAACTTCCATTTTAACGTCCCTCTTAATATTTTCTATCTGTTGCTTACAAAAAATATGCTGCATCATTATAGAGGTTTTTTTCCATTACACACTACATATATGAACTACTTTCTAAATTATCTTCCAAAATTCTAAGATAATAAAATGGAAAAATTATGGCATTTTACTTGACCAGACCTATTATTTTATCTTTGTTTTTACAATATCTTTATTTGTTTATTTATTCATTTATTTAATGTGGTGCTGAGGATCAAACCCAGTGCCTCAAAGGTTTGAGACAAGCACTCTACCACTAAGCTACAACCCCAGCCCAATTTTATCGATATTCTGCTCTTACTATATTTATAGTTAACAGTCAAGAATTAATAAAAAAGCACTGAACTAAATGTGCAAATAATCTTTTCCACATTCTTAAAAAGTAATCGTATATGTTTATCTTAAATTCTGGAAAAGAGCATTTGAGAAATATTATTACTGTTCAAGAAGAAAGAACTAGACAGAGAAATGAAGACAGAAACTGACACATTCTCTTACCACTATTTCTTTTTAGATGGTCATGTAAGGCAAATCATATTAATTATTAATATTTTAAAATAAACATACTGAATTAAAATATTTCTCAAAACTTCATTCTTGTTCTTTTAAAAATGTTATTAAAGAAACCCTTAGAGATCAGGAACTGCCATCAATAATACATTAATGGAATTGGAAATGAAATGAATGGTATTCATCTTCCCCTAAGTGGGGGAAGTAAAAGGCAACTACTCTCCTAAAGTGGTATATTTTTTATTCTTTTGATTATAATTGATTTGCTATCTTTCCTAGAGTGACATTTTAGGAAAAACATATTCAGTACAACTTTGTACATTCTGATAAAGATTGTGGGATCATGGAAGTTAGTCACAAAGGAAATAAGATCAAAGGAGTAGAAAGATGAGGGTGAAAGGCAGCTCAAAAAGTAATGCCAGGGCAAAAATAGCAGGAAATAAATGAACATTCCTCAAGATTGTAAGCATGTGCCTAAAAGTGTGCATGCCTATGTGTGCACACATGTGAGCTGAAGTTTAGACAGGCACAGGCTGAGGCTTCCCCTGGGTGGTGGAATGTCAAGGATTAGCAGAGGCAAAGGGGGAAGACAAGTGAGTGTGTGTGTTCAGATTTCCTGGAATCTATACAGGGATCCCAATTTCCTTTCACATAAGTAGAGCCATTGATGTAAGTAGGAAACAAAGATTCCATTAAGGCTCATTATGTGATGTAGATACACGGGTGTGGGATTTTTCTGCTCAAACTGTTTTAATTATTTATTTTAAATGAAGGGGTAAGAAATAAAATCTGAGGCCACATTTTATATTTTAGCTATGTAGTCCAGAATCTTCAATAAAAGAGTCCTTTAAAGTATACTAAAACCTTCAGGAAAACTGAGATTGTTTTATGAATAAATGTCCCCAGACTTGTATCTGAAAACCAGGTAAACACTGACATTATCTGAGTTTCCTTAAAATACATATATTTAACAGTTCTGCATCTCTTTTTTTCTTAATATTCCACCCATCCTTCCTTAGCATCTCTCTGAGCTATACTGTCCTCACCACCCTATCTACAAAATCTTGAAACCTATGTACACGTATATATCCATTATATGTAGACAGGTTTAAAAAACTACCTGAACTATGACATCATTATTTTTCATTTTTTAAATTTACTTAATTTCTTGATTTCAAATAAAAACTGGGGAAATTATAACTAAGTTTCCATAAGTATATAACCTCCAAATTTGTTGAATATGGTCTTCAATAAGAAGATCTTAAATCCACAAAAATTTAGTATTTGAATGAAGCATCTATCCAATAATTTAATGTGTTGCATTTTGTAATTATTGGTATTTCTACAAACTATAATAGTTTTCTTCTTGTCATTTAGGGTTATGAAATTCTTCAGCACATGCATGTATTATTAAAGAACATTCCAGTAGAAATTCTCTCTCAAAGTAGGTATCCCATTCCAGAGAGTTTATTGCTTCCTCAGCAATCACAAAATATGATTTTTTAATTCCGATGGAGAGAATCATGATATTCAACATTTGGAGTAGTTTTTCATCACCACTAGCATTACACAAAGCAATCTAGAGTTGCATTGAATTAAGTGTGAGAACTCTCCTGCCAAATCTATGTAGTAATACAGGCAGAAAAATTTCTACTCAAGGCAGGCCTTCTTAGTCAATATTTATTACAATGAACAAAATGGAAATCAAAAACTATGGAGAGTAATCCTGTCTTTCTTTCTTTGATGACTTATTGGGTGCTTTTCCATAGAAAATGTGAAACATCAAGTAATATAAAATACAGGTTAATATTTTAAAACTGCATTTTAAAATCAAGAATTAAATATTATAATAAGAAGAAGATAGCTTGACTAAATTAAATATAAGCAATATAACTATATGCAATTATTAACCTCAAGCCCTATGAATATCATTATAGGATAGTTTGTTTGAAATGATATCAAATAATTCTTTCATTGTAATTCATATATCATTTATATCAAATATTTAAGATTTAATATACTTTGCATAAATTTGACTAAATTAAGAGTCTAGATTTTCACATTCCTTTCCTACAATGTTTCATAGCCAAGCTATGTTTTATTTCATTCAATATATTCATTCAATGAGTCCAAGAATTCTGTAGTCTATATTTTATAAGAATTACCTACAAACACATCAGTTACAATTATGTCACCAGGAACTTCTTATCCTTACCTTTCTGACTCAGAGTATCTAAATAATTAAAAGCACAAAATTCAGACTTCTGGGAATATATACCATACAATTTTACTGATACTACATAAATTCCTCCTTGTTATATAAATTTCCTAATTCAGCTCTATCAACATAATAATTTCAAAATAATTATTTACTTGTCTATAGAAACATCCATTTCCATTTTGACATCCAATTAGCTACAAGAAATATACGTTCTTCCATGTGATTTAAACATCTAATTTCTAAAAATTACTCTTATTTTCATTCACTTACAAATCAAATGGTTGTCTACTACAATTTCTATAAATTCTAGCACTGTCTTAACCCACATCTCATGACCATGACCAGCAAAATGGTTGAAAATCATGCATACAACTTTGGTTTTTTTCCCCTTGATATCTTTCATTAAAAGAAAAGCTGCAAAAGTGGATTCTCTCTCCTCTGTCATAACCAGTCAATCTGCTGATAGAATTTTAACCATTAAAGAAATAGATTTCCAAATTTTATTAAAATGGCGATAAAGCAAACAAAAAAACTCAAGTTTCTGATGTTAATTGGTTTTATTAGCCAGCTTGTAACATCACATTTTCTGTGTGTACTGTAGCTTCTTATTCTAGGGGACACTAATTAGTTTTAAATGGTGTTAAATACCATCCCTGCAGTTGCAAGTGCTTCTCTGGGATTTTTTACCAGAGAAAAGAACTCCTGTAATTTAAAACTACTTTGTTTTCTTCAGTCACAGCTGTTAGTGAAACACTGACCTGTAGAAATCTTGAAAGGTTTTCACCTTTCTGTCACTGTCATTAGCTAGCATTTATTTTCTTAACAGGTCTTTTCCCCTTGTGCCATTGCTCTACAGTAATTCCCATCCCCCAAATTGCAGCCAGCAGAGAAACAGCATTAAACTAGTTAGGCTCTTCTCTGCCCCCTCCCCCTTCTCTCCCTTACAAAGCCTTGGCTACCCTTAAAGAAAATTCTCCAACAACGTGTCAATTTTACATTGGTCACAAAGACAACTTCTGTTGGGGGAGGGGGAGGAAAGAGGGACTGGAGCTTGGCTGTCCCTTTCCACAGACTGGGATCTTTGTGGTGATCAGAAAACATTTCCTGCATAAGAAATCAACACACTCTCTGGTTGCAGGGATGGGGAGTAAGAAGGAATATGTATCAGCTCTGCCCTCAAAGGAATGGAACATAGCCATTAACCTTCCAAACAAGAAAGTCATTTTCTCAAAATATGTCATGCTTTCTTGCATTATTAAACATAATCCACAATCTCAAATCTTCTGATAGCTCTTCCACTGAGGATTGGGTGAAAGCCACAAATCACTCTTATACTTTATTTTTTCTCCGCATTTCCATTGCACCGTTTTTTCCCCCTCCCTCTAGCTCACCTCTGAGATGTTCCCTCTCTCTGTGTATATCAACAGGAAACTGAGAAGACAGCAAAACACCACTTGCAAAATGCAGATCCCAATTCTTTAAAGATCAGAATGTGTATTAACCTGCAGGAGATTTCATAACCCCAAGACCTGACCCAGACAGTATGCTCCCCCAGTGTTTCTCTTGGCCCACCAAAGAGCAAGAGTGCCAGGTTTATTGTACAAACCACCTTAAACAGAAGTCTGGCCCCGGGTACCCCTATTTTCAGATGTTAACAAGTCTCTTGGTCCAAACAGGTTTGCCTTGGAGAGTTACCTTTTGGTCATGTCAACCCAGCTCAAAGGGGTAAAAGGATAAGTCACACAGGGAAAAGCAAGTGAAAGGAACCATTTGCTGGATTGGAGCAAAAGGGAGAAGTCTGAAAATCCATTTCACAGGTGGGGTATGTGTGTGTAGGTCTCTTAAGGGGATGCAGCTTGAAAAAAGGCACCCCTCTCTCTCTCCTTCTCCTCCCTGCCAACCACTAGTACAACCTGGCTTCACATTTCTGCATCTCTTTGATCCTGAATATTCCACCTGCACTTCCTAGGCATGTCACTGAGCTATACTGTCACCATTCTATCTTCAAAATCTTGAGACCTAAAACAAGCTTAAGAGACATTCATCAGTGAAGATCCACAAATCAAATAAATCCAAAGATGGCAGAGCAAAGGAGAAATGATTAGGTCTGAGTACTGAAACAGCACATGTCACTTCCATGCCACAAGCCTCCCCCTCCCTTGCTGGCATCCATCTTCCCCAATTTGGGGGCACTTACCTTCTTTGGGTGGTCGTTTGGCCTCCCTGGTAAGATTGCAGACTTGAGTGGTTTGCAGCTCCTGGGTCAGGCAGCCCTCTGTCTGCTCATTCAAGGGCAACACGACGTTATTTAACAAAACCAGGGACTGGTCATCGATCCCCCACTCTCCCAAATGCTGAGGGCAGGTGCATTTTGTATACATGATCCCACATGATTCTGTTCTCCCATTTTCTGATTTTAAGCAGCTCTCCAACCAAGTGCATAATACATGGCAACCAAACTGGCTTGGGCTCACTTTGTTCAATACCAAAAACTCAAAAAAAGATTTCTGATCTTCTTCCCCTTTTTTCTGTAATCCTGGGAAATCAGATGGAAATACCCGACGTATTTGAATAAAATTTTTATCATATTGTAGAAAAACAAAAGCATTCTTGGAATTGCAGAGTTGCATTATAGAATGATTCTTTCTTAAAAGATCCTTTATTTTTTCATGGGAAAAATGATCAAACTGGTAAGCCAGGAGGGAAAAGTTAGAGCAGCTAAGGTCCTTTTTGGAAAATTTCAGGTAAATGCTATATTTGGTTGGATCTGGATTTTCCAGCGTCCAAGTGCAGTTTGTAAAGTTTTTGGGAAACATTTCACTTACAGAGTACGATCCATAAATGACTCCCTTCACCAAAGTTGAACACCAAAAGTCTTGGGCAGCATTAAATCCAAACATAACCAGGAGATAGGTGGAAAATATATAAATCAGCAGGTTACGAACAGCCTTCATCCTATGTCATTTGGCCTGTAAAATGGCAATGAAAGTAAAATGCAAGTCGGAGTCTACACGCATTGAAAAAATAAACTCCTTCCAATATTACAGCCAGCTGTTTTCAAGATTTCAGTGAAAAAAAAAATCCTTTTTATAAAAAAGGGCAGGTAATTTTTATTTTATAACGCTGGGAAATTATCTGTTGCTGTGTGAACAGCGCCCTCACGTGGCCCATCACAATGGTCAAATTCTCAACATTCAATTTAAAAATAACATTTAATAGATTATTAATAGGAATGCCCTAATTTATCCACCAGGGTTTCCTCCACAACCATTATCATTCTATCAAATGAAGAAGGAAAACATGGGGTTTAAAATATTATAACCTAAATGTTAATCATTGAAACATTTTTAATCAATCTGTACAAACGTTTCTCTCCCTCAGTCTTCTGTCTGCAGTAAACATCAAACAAAATCTAATCTGATAATCTGGGAGCAGCTGTCACCACATTATTTCTTTTCTCTTAAATGTGAAAAGTAATTACAATAAATTATAGCCACAATTTTAAAAGCACAAATGATAATTTGTTCCAGATGGAACATCATCTCCCAAATGCCCCTACTTGCCTTTTCAGAGGCTACCATGTGAACTGATAAGAAATTCCTGTGCAAAAACAAGAGCTTTCATGTGGATTAGTAGAATATTAAAGCCACCATCTGAGAAAAGGCATAGATGGACAGATACACAGGGAAGACTTGTTGTTCAGCATCACCATTGAACCAGGATTTGAGGCAGTCATTTCAATGTGACATGCCCTCTTGGGATACATAAAGTGGATCACTGTATTAGTATCTGTATCCAAAGGCGATGTCAGTGAAAAAATCCCAGAACTGCAGTAATTGAGCTGGCTTCTTTTAATTTTTTTTTTTTAAATTAGGGTTATTGTGTCTAGACTTATCTACTGTAACTTAAGATTTACACATGGTAGATAAAAGATATTAGCATTTTCTTTCCTAGTAGATTTCAATTTTCAAATAGCTCTCTTTCAAACAACAGCTCCAAAGCTCCTCTTCTCTTCTTTTTAATTTTTAACCCTGGACCTGCATAATAAAGTAGTCCTTGATTATATTTACCTCTGTAAGTTGTTATCCAAAAATAACTTGAATATTTTTCAGCTTTAACCTTTAAGAAGTTATTTCTTAGAATAAATGACACTGCTTTTTGGTTCAGCCTTTGAGCTGATAAAAGTGATGCCAAGTTAATTATAAAAGTCTTTAAGCTGCAGTCTCTTCCACTGTTCTGTAAACAGAGACAGACATACAGACATAGACAGTTAAGAGTTTTCATGCTTTTTTTGCTTGGGTCCTCTTTGAACCAAAGGATAAAACCCTCTTCCTTCCCATTGCATAACACACACCAACGCATGCACTCCAAATCCAGTGACCAAAGTCCCTGAAGATAGATCTGCATTTTACAGATTATAATTTGAATTCTATGTTTTGGTATGGGCAAAAACAGCCCCAACTCTAAATCTCTATATAGCAGCAGTTTAAAATAACGCTAGAACTGCTGGGACTATCAAAACTGTGTTCTCTGTTTCAAGCATATAGCTGAATGAGTAATGCCTTTCTTCTTAATAAAGATTAAAGATTAACAAATGAGGAAAGTTGTAGGAAATTCTGTAAATAATTTAATTCTTTTTCTTTCTTTTCTTTTTTTTTTTTTTTTTTTTTTACTGTAGCACTTTGCAGGCAATGCAGGTCTGCGCAGTGTTCTTCAGGATAGTGTGTAGGCGTTGAGAGCCAATGTGACAATAAGTGTCTAAATTAGGAATTCCATCCATGAAAGGGGGCTTCATTTTATAATAAGGAACTCAAAAGGAGGTCGAATATCTTTTCCTTATGAAATTGGTACTTTTGCTTCCATTTATTTGACAGAGCATGTCTGCAATGCTGTGCTCATCAAAGATTAGAAAGAGTGAGGATATAGCTTGGATTTTACTTTCATGCCTGCTCAAGTAAGCATCTCAAATATAATGCTTCATATTTTTAACCAGCCTTGCTATACAATCTTGTTTTGTTCTAAATAATAAAAAATGAATCACTGAATCCCCCCCCCCCACCACCACACACACACCTTCAGACTGCAGGGCCTGTTCTAAAAACTGTATTTCCCTATTGAAAGTAAGGGGGTGTCTAAGGGTTGTCCACCGAGGTTTCAAGGATGTTATATTTATTTATTTATTTGTCTCTTACTGAGAAGCAAACCGGCATTGAGTTTAGCTATTCTCAAAACTGATTTTCTGGGTGACACTTTAGTTTAGTTGAACATAGACGGCGCCATCACTCCACTGATTTTTTTTTTTTTTTTTTTTTTTTTTTTTTTTTGCCCAACAGAAGACCCAATGCCTACTCTTTAACTTCCTTTTAACCTAAAATTTTCCCCCATAAAATTACCTCGATCACGCACAACTACCAGATTTTCCGGGTCTCTCTAACTATTCCTTCGGATCCAGCACATTTCTTGAAAGCCAGACTTCTCTAACTTTTCAACTGCGGCGTTTAAGTAAATGCAGGCAGTCAGATTTGCTCGCAGTCTCCCCATCCACCAGCAACAGCCTTTCCTTTCCTTGCTCTCCCTGCCCACACACCAAGCCTAGAGCCCCTCGGTGGCGGCCCCCCGCACAGAGAAGGTGACCCCTGGACCCCTTTCCTTACCTTCCACTCCGAAAGCTCAGAGAGGCTCTTGCTCTAAGACACCAGCACAGGCACGCGTCCCAGCAACAGTGACGGAGAGACTCCCCTTCGGTCCCAATCACCGTTGCCCATTTTCCCCGGCTCAGCTTCAAAAATCAGAATTTATTATTTGAAAATGCACACATACGAGAAGCAAAAAAAGAAAAGAAAAAAAAAAAAAAGGAGAAAAAGACCAGAGAGGAGGAGTGAAAGGGGGGGGAAAAAGCCCCGGGGGCCAGAGCCTGTCGCCTTATCCAACTGAATCCAATCTCCAAACCGAAGTGGGGGGGGGGGGGCGAGAAGCCCCCCTGGAGGGAGACTCTAAACAAACAAACAAAAATAAAACGATGGAAGTGGATTAAGAACGAAGATTTGTTTTACCAAATCTATCCCCCAGCAAACCGATTAGCCAAGAAGCAAAGAAAGCGCTGAGACGAGAAGTGACCGGCGGCGGCGGCAGCTGCTAAGGCAGATTTGTTGGGGCGGTGGGTTTATTACAGGAGTATTCGTGGTCGGATCGGAAGGCTCAAGCTTATGCTTTTTCCTCTTTCCGCTTTCCTCCCTGTACCTCCTCCCCCCACTGCAGGTACTGATGGACAGACGGCGACTAAGGAGAGGGGGGGAAATATCCTTGGCTGGTGATGTCGGAAAGCTGTTTGAATGCCCAGCGAGGAGGGAGGCGAGAGAGGGAGAGAGATAGTAAAGCTCTGTCTCGGGTGTGCGCGCCGGCGCGCCGCGCTCTATCTCCCCGGGGCACGCGCGTGAGAGGTGCGCGTCCCCGAGCTCGCGCCCGCACGACGGCCTCGCGCGTGCTCGTGGGCGCGCGCACCCGCCGCCAGCATTCGGCGCGGTGCGCCAGGCAGCCAGCCCGAGGCTTTTGCGCGCCGCGCGGTCGGGGGGCCTTGGAGTTCTGACTCCCGACGGCGGGTGTGTGCGAGAGCGGGCGAGGGGAGCGGCTGGGTGGGAGAAGAGGGAGGACCCCGAGGGAGGGCGGGAGAGAGGCGGGCGGGAGGGGGTGCGCCGCGGAGGTCCAGCCAGGGCCGCGGTGCGCCTACACGTCACCGCTACTCAAACCCAGGCACGTCCCGAAAGCGGTATTTTCTGCGTCTGGGAGGTTTTTGCGTCCTCAGTTCCCACCGCTGGGGCTGGCGGCGACCAACTGTAAGAGAAACTCACCAGGAGGCGAGGCAGGGGGGGTGCGGAGAATGGGAAGGCGAGTCTGAAGGGTGGGAAGTAAATGCTGGACTTGATCATCTTTCTCTTTCTGTTTTTCAGCACGGACCTTGCGCAGCGGGAGAGCTGTCATTTCAGCACCAGGATTCAGAATTGATCCAGTCCGCTGCAGAGGGGGGCATATCTCAGCTCCCATTGCTGCGGGTCTCGCCTGGAACAATAGTAGTTTTTCTCAGCAAGGCTGCAATTAACATCTTATTTGTTCAGGCTCCGTACAGGCTTTGTCGGGACTGCGGTGAGGCAACCGAGGTTGGGAATCTTGCATTGCTTTCTGCATGGCAATGGGATCGTGGTTGTGGGGTCAAAACTTTTGTTTTGTTTTGTGGTCTTAGTGTATCTTTTTTCTTTTTCAAGTTTCCCTAGTAACAAGTTTGGGGAACGGGTGGGAAGAAACCCGGGAAAAAGCAAGAGAAGGACCTGATTCTCCATGTAAGAGGGAAGGAAGAGATAAATTTCCTCACCACCCCCCTTTTATTTATTTATTTATTTAAGCTCTTAAACAGTAGGCTGATGAAGTATTTGATGAACTAGCTTCAAAAATGGGCTGCAAAAATGTCTTTTGACTCCTTACTATGTCTCTACTTGTAGACTCAGTTGGTGGTTTGCAAAACAAGTGCTAAAATAGTGCAGTGATGTGGTGGGAGGAGACCATAAAGGGTAATTCATTTCAAATGTGGAGTCTTCCTAAGGGTGAGTTGCTTGAGCGACAGGTGAAGTTGAATAAAGCAATTTCCCATCATTTTGTCTCCTCACTGTCTGTATTTTTATTCCTCTTTTTGTTCCTCTTCCTTGGGGCGATTGTGTAGCCAAGAACAAGATATTTTTTAAAAGGTTAGAGTGAAAACAGGTGATCTTTTATTCACCAGAGTTGTTTGAAATATTAAAATTGGCTCTTTACTTCTTAATACATATTAATAGAATGACCCTCTTCAAGGCTTTCTCTTCTAGGATGAGTGTTTAAAGTAAAACCCTGTAAGGGAAACGTTAATCATTCCCCAGCTGGCTTTAAGGGTGTTTGCAGGAACAAATCACCAGTGAGAGAAACTTGGGTGGCATTTTTGTTTTGTGTCATTTTTGGTTCACTACCACAATTTTTACTCATTGAAGCAAATGTGCAAAGAAAATATGGTTTATATGTTCAGGGCAAAATCCAAAACACTGTAAAACAAACACATTTTCTTAAAAAAACAAAGAACATTCAGCAATACAAAGAAGAAACCTTTTATTTATTTCAACTTCCAGAGATTGGAACCACGATATCTCCAAAACATTTTGGTTAGTTCTGTTATTTTTATCTAGAGAAAAAATAGAGATTAATGATAGATGTGTAATACAAATGGAGAAAAAAAAAAGCTTTGCACGATTTGTACTTTAAAAAATGAAAGAAAAATAAGGTTTAAACATGCTTCTATTTTGCACTTAGTGGTTTCTCATATTATCCTTTAACATAGTGATTTTGATGTTTCTTAGAAATTCTTAAATGTCATGACTCAGTGACATAAGAATAACATCCAAAGGGGGCAATTTTAAAAGGCTTAATTCTAAATGGAAAGGAGCACTCATTCCCGGGATCATTTATATTCAAGTAGAATGCAGGTCTGGGTCAGAAAAGAAAGCTACCCTTAATAAAGCGCTTCACCCTTCACACTGTTTCCTGTAACCTTCATAAATTGCAGGCTACTGAGCTGGCCTGATGATGAGCCTGCTGAGGTATATTTATAGCAGATGATTTGTAGATGATAAATATGCCAAGCAAGACATCGTCTCCAGTAACCCCAGGCTCCACTGACTTCCTCAGGGGGTCATAATCAAGACTTACAAAAAGAGCCCTGGATGTGGAGAATCTGGTCTCTGAACCCTGACAATAGCACAGTCCAAAGGCAAACCAAGGAGGAATCACTTTGTTTCATGTCTGCACAATGTTCCACATGAAAGCGTTGCTGACATATTGACTCAACAACCAAAAGAGAATAGCAGTTTGCATAGCCTAGGCTCCATGTCCTTTCCTTCCTATTGACATAGGTCCATTTTTATGCCTTAAAGTATTTTGAAAACACCATTTCAAATTATAATTATCAGCTTCTTAACCTCTTAAGTCCCTGTGCATTTCCATGACATTTATATGTGTACAAACACATATTTCACATGCATACATGATGCACATTTTTCCTACTATTGGAATATATACATATATAATATGCATGTGTGTTTTTCATTTGGAACACATTTTTTGAGGATGTTTCACTACATTACTTTGTATATCTCTGCTAAACAAAGAATTTCACCTCAAAATTGCCAAATTAATGGTATAAACTAATTTTGTTTCCTTGTTGACTTTCAAGAGAACCATTGCAAAATCAGTTTAACACATCAAAATATGGACTAACATTGCATTTTAAATTAGCCCAAATATTTAAGGTTAAAGTCCTTCAAATTTATCTCTCTTATTATATATCCATTTGATTAAGATTTGTTTAGAAAAATGACATTTCTAAGTGTATTTTTATATATTTTCCTGTTACTTTTTTGTTGATCCTTCTATATTTGAGAATAACCTTATTCTCCAAAATTACTGCTTAAAATTCAATGTCATCTGCAAAATTCTTCTACTCAAAAATGTTTCTCAATCTTGTTTACTCAGTTTTAGAAAGTTTTTTCTTCCCTTGCTCCTCCCATCTTTTTAGTGTAAAACATTGACACATTGAAATTTTTTTAATTGTTAGTTTCAATAAGGCTTTAGAAAGTAGAAATGGGTTTGTAGATTATTCCTTGTTCAAAATCTTCTGATGTATCTGTCTTTATTGTCTCCAATATGCACAGAAATGGCTTCTGGAAATTAATTCCATAATTAAAAAGAGAATTACTAAAACATCTTCAGAGATATGTATCTTAATTATCTTATTTACTATAATAATGCTTTAATATAGTCCTTGCTAATAAAATGATCAAAATATTACAAGATTACATTGTTATAAGTATTAACTTGTATTAGCACATGTATTGAAAAAACTTCCCATTTTTCTTTCTTTTTTTCTTTTCTTCTTATTATTAAGTAACGATGTTATTTCAGAAACCAAACTGGATCCATTCAGTCTCTCTGAAAAAAAAAATCATTTTCTACTTGGATATCCCAGAATACTAAGACATGACAAAGTATTAAAAAATAAAGGAATCGAGTTAGGATAAAAAGACATGGAACAAGACAATATTTATCATAAGTTAGCTCAAGTGGAAAGCCGTCCCATGTCAGGCACAACCAAAGTTTAATATTGTCCCAAACCCTTGATTGCATCAATTTTCATTTATCGTCATACAATGACACAAGTAAAAAAAAAAAATAAATTGGTAAAATATTTTGGCCATCAATTCACAAGGCTTCACTTATGGCACTCAGGAAGTGCCATGAATAGGAAGCACAAGAGTGTATTTTAAAAACATTTTGGAAAATATGGACTTTGAAAGCTTGAAATATGTTTCTAGGTAAATATGAACTCATCAAGAATTCTTGTCAGTGGGCTGGGTTTGTGGCTCAGTGGTAGAGTGCTTTCCTAGCATGGGTGAGGCCCTAGGTGGATCCTCAGCACCACATAAAGATAAACATATGAAGATACTTTGTCCATCTACAACTAAAAAAAAAATTAAAAATCTTATCAGTTACTTTGCTTGTCTTTTTTCATGTAAAGGTACTGTGTTTATAACATTATTTTTAATATCTGTAAGTTCAATGCACAAGAAATAAAGATTTTTCATTTTTACCCATGAGCTTGACAATAATGTGAATAAGAAGATGTGGACTCTA